GCTACGTGCCATAGCATTCACGCTATCAACGAAAAACTCTGGCATTCAGTTGCCGATAAACTATCTCAATTTTCCCCTGACCTTGTACCGGTTTTTGGGACCTGGTGACCTGACCTGAAAAGACTGAAGCCTGAAATTTTCATGATATGCGCCAAAAGGCTGCCCCAGAGGATATGCCAAATTTGGCGGGGCTACCGCCGTTTTTACGTTATTTGCGAAAACCCTTGGGGTTGGTTGGTTTAAAACCGGCACATGTGTAGTGATTTCAAAAAAGTGTTCCAGAGTACGGTAGGATGCATGAAACAGAATTATGCTTGAACTTTGAGGGTAAGGTCAAGGTCATGCTCAAAATTGACCTCAAACTGCACTTTTTCGTATATCTTGTACACTAATTTCCAAAATGTTTTGAAATATTTCGAAGGTCATCAGGCACCTATTTGTGGTTCATGTTCCGTTACAAGGATGTCCCCAGGTCAAGATCGGGCAAGAGTATCCTTGCTAGAGGCTACTTCACTGATTCAAGTCAGCCATCAAGCTATCAAGCCATCAAGCAGTCAAGTTCAGCTATTTTTGCTATGCTGACGCTCTAAATGGATGCTTAGAGCAAAATGAATACCAGATTCGTGATCAGCAGCTACGAATTCATCACAAACCACCTTTCATGTGTCAGGGTCAACCAAAGGTCATTCGAGGTCAACATAAGACATGTCCTTTTCTAAGCAAAATGTATGTCATTCGATGCGTCTTGGCAGGACGCATGCGTTGGTAGACAGTGGTACCAAGCTTTATAGGGCCATTTTTTTTGTTGAAGTTATTTGCGAAAACTGAAATCCCATCTCAGGGTCGTTGACCTGACCTCTGACCTCAGGTCACCAAAATTATTTTGTATTTTTACCTGTCATATGTTACACAACCATGCTCGAAATTTGTATTTATCTCTAAAATTATATGTTTAGCAGCTGAAGTTCACGTATGTGGCGTTGAAATTTGTCGTGCAAGGGTCTCGTTCTAGGAAAGTCGACCCTGTGATGTCATTAAAGGGGCTGGGTAAAGTTTTACTCCAGGAGATGTGAAATTAATGGGAGAAAAGGTACTGAAAGTTTGGCGCTTCTATCTAAGCGCTCGGGAGCTATCGCAACGCAAAAATTCGTCAGGGCGGGGGGGGGGGGGGTGTAAATATTGCCCTCCCGGGCCTGCGAGGGTTACCTTACATGTCATATGTTTGAAAAATCGCAAAAATCGCCATTAGAAAAAATCGCAATAAAGATGGAGCTATCAGCAAAATGCAGATGAAAAACGTCACAAGACGCACTCACCTCAGTTGTTCAAGTCCGAATTTCCCAGAAAAAAGCTTTTTATCTCATAAAATTTAAAAATGTTTTCAACACGAAAACAGTTTCTCTGCAAAAGTTTCAAGAACTAGAATATATGTTTAACCCGCGCCCCACTGGGGTCTGCGTATAACACGCCCTACTGGGGGGGGGGGCTATTCATAGCCCCCCCCCTCCTAACTCCGAAACTACTGGGCCGATCGTCAAAATTCAAACGGCGTCTGATAGCCCCGGAAAAACTGTCGAGCGAAACCTAATTTCATTGACCTCGAGGTCACCGATGACGTCACAGGTCAGGTCAAAGTAAAAATTATTAGCATTTTGGCTTATTCACGTTTTGGGCTCTGGCCGCCGTTTTACAGGTCAGATCAGGCTCATTTTTGGATCACACACTCGGGAACAGATGCTCTAGTTACCCTGAGGGTACCAAACTTGTACTTTGATTTTCAGGTTAAGGTCAGGTCATCACAGGTCACGAAAATATTATATCATGCGTCGGTCACGTGACACATGTTTTATGGTCCATTTAGGTCAGAGATTTCGAATTTGATGTCGTCTGTGTCATTCGAGGTCATTTTGAGTCGAATTTAGCTTATGTTAGGTCATTTTCAGGTCAAAAAATGTCAAATTTTGAAGTTGAAATTTTTCAATAAAAAAGGTGTCTATTGGATGCAGTTTGAGCTCAGAAACACGATGGTGCTATTTATATTGGCGTGCGATGTCAAATACGTGCTGAAAAATTGATTTGAAAAATTAATTATTGAGAATTTTTTGCAATAATGCGTAAAACTTGGCCATTTTTTGAAGATATTTAGCTAAAACTTGCTAGAGTTAGTTATAATAATGCGTTCTATCACATGTATTCCGGTTTTTTTCGAAAAGTTAAAAACTTTTTGCAAAAATGTAAAAATATAAATTTTGGATATTATTATATCAAATTTTCAAAATTTTCAAAATTTCGAAAATCCGAGATAGCAGTTTGATAGCGCAGTCTATTCTGAGTCCTCTCATGCAAAGAAATTGGATCTAGCCTAAAAACTGAGCTCTTGGGAGCGATTGCCGTGGTTCAATGTTTTGCGTCGAAATCGGCCGAACATGACGTCACTCTGACGTCATTTCCGGCCGACCTATAGTAGGTACGAAGTTTAAATTTTGACACAAGGTGTCAAATTGATGCAGCCTAACGTACTGAAAGTTTGGCGTCGATACATCAAGCGGTTTGGAAGTTATTGCAGAAAAACTGGGGGGGGGGGCTATAAATAGCCCCCCCCCCCCAGTGGGGCGCGGGTTAAGAGCTCTGATTAAACACGAGGTGTGCCAAATTGCCACTTTTATATATATTTTTAACCCTAAAATGGTAAAAAATACTGAATTATTATGGTATGATATCATAGATAATTGTTGTTGTCAGCTTAAACATCAGACCAGTGAGAACGAAAGTGGTATAACCATGACTATCGGATCTGACGTGAAAAATAATACCTACCTAAATCATGTGTCGCTTACCCCCGTAGTAAAAAATGATCTTACGTTACCTGACCTGACCTGGTGTGGCCTTGGTCGCGAATTAATTTTTTATAACTAAGATGGGGACGGATGGACGAGACCACCATCATCAAGCTAAGCGCAAAAAATATCTTTAAAAAGGTATCGCAACCCTTGCCGATTGTCGTCTTTCAGTGACGTTTTGTGACTTTACCTTGACCTTGGCCCATGCTTCGCATTAGGTATTTGTAACGCTAATATTCTAATGGTTTCGTATCTATTATTTAGGTCACTTTGGCTAAGTTTTGGGCAGAAATGATTGCTTTTGCGTTCATAAGCCGTATCACGCAGAAGCCTCAAAATCTGACATTTGACCTGACCTTGACCCGAAAGTTGACATCAGTTTTGAAATATCAAGCATTCCTTGGAAAGGTTCATGAAGAGCTTCCAAGCGCCGCCTCGCGGGGCTCGATACGACCATTGGTTCTCAAGATAACAGGAGGCCGACCCCCTCCCCCCCGTCGTTTGTGCGAAAATAGCCCAGGCGTTGCCGGGTTACGTATATAGTTTTGCAACCGGCGTAGTCAATGTCATTGTTTATCCAAAACTGGAACCCAACCTATTTTAGTTTTAACCCTCGCCGGCCGAGGGGGGGGGGGGTGCCGCCCCCCCCCCCCCATAGGTTTTTTTCGCGATAGCTCCGAACACGCTAGCGATAGAGAGCTGAAACTTGGCATACCTGACCTTTGATCCAAGCCGCATCTTTTGACACCAACCGCATGTTTGGGTCAGGTCAGGTCACTGACCTATGACGTCATAAGTGAACCTCTGCACGGTCTTCAGATGTCGCAACTTCGCAACGCCCTCACTGCCAGAGGAGATGTTACAGGGAAATGAAACTTGCAGGATCTAGTATCCATTATGAGTCTCACAACTTGTATATCTCGGATTTTTCCTATATGGCACATGAGGTCAGGTCATTTTCGTGACCTCACCATTATAAGTCAATGGGGAAAAATGAAAACTGTTATTCTGGCGCCGGGAACGATCTCCAACTATCTCAAGCATACAGAATCGTGATTTGATGCACTCCTTGCAAGGTTAGATGCGTCACTTTTGCAATGTTGACCTTGTGTGACGTCATTTATGACGTCATTAAGGTCATATTAGTTTTTCGTCAATAACTCTTGATCAAATTGAGCTAGCGAGTCGGGGAAGCCACCAATGGACTCAGGAAGACCTGCCAAATCGAATGATATGCGACATGACCTCTTTCGACCACCTTCGTGACCTGGGGGTGCTGACCTGACCTTGACCTGAGGTCAACACCCCAAGTTGACCTGACCCGAACAAAAAGTATATCATTCGACGCGCCTGAGCGAGGCGAACACGATGCTGCCAAAATCGCGGCTCTGCGGCCTTTTTTTGCAAAGTTATTCACCAAAAACTGAACCGTACCTTGGGGCACTTGACCTGACCTCAGAGGTCACCGGTTGACCTAGGACCTTAAAATCGGGTACCAATCTCTGCGTCTCGTAACGGCGCACACGCTCGTTTTTTCCGCGACGCGCTAGCTCCACCAGGGGCGAAACGGCGAGGGGGGGGTCGTACCCGCCCCCCCCCCCCCCTCGGCCGGCGCGTAGGTAGAAAACCAATAGGTCCGGCGAGGATTAACGCTTTCAAGGCTGGCTGTTGGTTTGCAACATTAAATTTAATTTTTACAATAAATTTAAAACTATTTTGTGTTTGGAATACAACATTTAATGCGAGTAGGTATGCATAATTGCGTAAATAAGTTAAATAATTGAGATTATGCCGTATGCGACAATCTATCTCAGGATTTCCCAGTCGGAAATGTAGGTAAAGTTCTGCGCTGAGGAATGTAGATAGAAGGAAGGTAATTAAAAGAAGTTGGTGTAGTTTTTGTGAGAGGTGCGTCGCGCTCGGTCGCCGGAAGCCAGCATCACTGAGAGTCGACAGTTTCCTGGCTCCCACAGTCGGTGCCCCCTGGATTTTATAACGATGTTATACGTTTTGTAAAATATGATTTGGATTTGATGTTTCAATTTGATTGACGTTTCTAATGGATGTTGGTCGGCGAAAGATCAGCGAAGCAGATCATATTGGGGGTTATTGGCGGACTTAATGGTGGCGGTAGCGGCCTGGGAAGCTGAACACGCTTACCTTGACCTTGCGGCCGTCAGCGGTGCTGATCTCCTGCTCGACGCCGATGTCGAACTCCTGCTCGTGCGTCTTGAAGGAGGTGACCTGCTTGAGCTTCCAGTGGGAGCCGTCGGTGGTGACGGTGACCACGGGCGTGGCCGCGTTGGCCGCCTTCCGCGTGATCATACCCACTCCTGGCGGCGCGACCAGAGGACGGCGGTCAGTCACACATCAGTCAGACCCAGGGCTGGCGACTCGCGGAATGCATCTGGGCCGCAGCTATCTTTGGGGGAGACGGGGTGTGACAGCGGAGAGACAATGGAGTGAAAGTTGTCCGGCTCGCTGGTGTCACTGTCCTGCGTTGTCCGTCCGTCACATATAGTCAGAGGCAGTCCATCCGTCCATCACAGAGAGGTCGTATGGGAGGTCGGTAGGTCGGTTCTGCGACACCTGAGCGAGCGTCATTTCAGCGAACGACATTTGAGCGAAGCCTTTTCAGCGATTAGCAATTTAAGCGATTGACTTTTTCAGCGATTGTCAAGTCGGCGAATTCAATCACAGCGATTATCAACTTAAGCGAGGACCAGAATCAGCGAAACCAGATTGAGCGAATATATGCAGGTCAATGGGGGACCAATTGAGCGAACACAGTTAGGTACAGCGAAACCGAACGCGACGGAAGTCAATCATTTGCTACTTTTCGGGAATTCTTGCCCTTGGAATACTCGCTTGGTGTGTGTCATGCTTCAAGCTGCGCGCGGCAAATAAAAAATTTGCTTCTAAGCATGGAAACCACAAAAAAATATCTGGCCTCATTCTGCAACTTTGATCTGGAAATGTGGAACGTGAGAGATATGACGATGGAAGGAATGTCAAGGACCAATAATAAACTCGAGGGATGGCACAGGGGGATCCAGTATATGTTTCAGGGACCTAACCCAAATATCTGGAAATTCGTACGTTGCTGCTTGGGGCAAGAACAAATTTTACATGGGGAACTGATCCAAATTCAAGCGGGGGAATTTCGCAAAAACAGCACAAGCAATATGAATCTCTGAACAAACGTTTGGTCATCATTATTGGCAAACAGCAGAGAGGGAGGGGGGTGAAATCGAACCGCTGAAATTTTTGAGAAATGTGGCATTAAATTTGGAGCTTAATGTCTGAACTTTGAACGTGACATCCGCCATCCAGTTCCGGATAACCATGAAAAGTTCCGGAAACATTCGTTGTACGAACGCTCGCAAAAGAAAAAAGAAAGAAAAATGCACCGTTACGGGACGATGAAGTGTTTCGCTGAAATGACAGTCGCTCAAACTGTAGTCGACGAAAAAGATGTCGCTGAAACATAGCTTTCGCTTAAATTGATAATCGCTATATTTGATAATCGCTCAATTTGATATTCGCTAAGTTGCCAATCGCTGAAAATGGTTCGCTCAAATGACGTTCGCTCAAATGACACTCGCTTAAGTCGCTCGCACCGGGTAGGTCACCGCATTAGTCGTCCGTCGCATTACCACCGTGTCGTCGTCTCTGGCCGCTGGCGCTCACTCACCGACGGTCTTCATGTACTCGTCGAAGTTCTCCGACGAGGTCAGCTTGTACTCTCCGTTGTAGTTGACCATGGTGGCTGGTTGATGGTGGCTGGTGGCTGGAGGAGCGGCGGAGCGCGTGTGACCGGTAGACGGTGTGAGAGGGGAGTGCGGTGCACGCCGACCCGACTCCCCAGGTCAACCCTGCTCACCCCCGCTCCCCAGCCCGCCGATAAGATAAACATACCGAGCGGCGGCCGCTACCCGAACAAAGTCCAGGTCCGCCAGAATACCCCGGACGCCGCCGACCCCCCTCCGACCCCCTCCGGCCGACGGCCGCGGGTCAGGGGGCGGGTGACGACACACGGACCGAAATCTGCTTACGAAATGTTTGTAGCGAGTAGCTGGAAGGATCGCGCCGGCGTCGAGGAAGATGAATGGTATGGCAACTATACAGTGATGTTGGGAAGACATCGCTGTTGCTATTTGATATAGGTTGTCACACTAGGAACTCGTGTGACGGATTGCGTCTGAAGGGAATGCTTTAGAATGACTGCAGTGCATAGAAAACTATGCGACAGCTATCTGCAGTCACTCAGCTGTTCACATGGTCACAATACATGAGGCCAACGAGCCATCATGTAAAGCTGCCACGATGAATCAATTACTGCATGGAGAACAGCGCTGTCAGCAGCATTCAGTGGGTCCCCGCAGTCAGTCCTCACTTCTTCACATGTAGGTATTCGGCAGCCGGAACGTGCGTGACGTCAACCCCCGTACCCTCGGACGGCCGCTCCCTGAGTGCGTTTACAGTAGCCGGTCTATTAGGACACCATAACGGCTCGCGATGGACTCGTAACGGCAGTAAAACTGCTGCCTGAGACCGCGCTTACAATGGCCCGGTGAGGGTGATTTATAATCTCTTGAACCAGCCGCGACCAGTGGTAGTTGTCAGTCGATCAAATACAATGAACACTTCAGTCGCGGTGACCCGTAGGGCAGTGCGCTGAATTATGGTGCGGCTGCCGCCCAACTGAACTGCTTCCTTAGCTTCTACCCATAGCTGAATTGTGGCTGGTCGGATATGTGGGTATAGTATAGGTACCAATTCAGGGACCTGTCGGCTTTTATGAGGGACGAGGGTGTTACTATGAGTTGCACTCCAAGCAGAATGACGATCGTTTACTTACTTACTTATTATGTATTCATATTTCTCAATACGGACCGATAATTAAATTCTGGGATATTCTTTATTCATTTGCTGGAACCAATCAAATGAAATCACTCAAATTCTTGAGGATTATCCCTCGCATGTGTAGGGGAGGGGGTCGGATGGACCCCCCCCAATGATTTTTCGCGAATAACTCGCGCAAAAAGCGGCCGATCGCTTTCAGTACCCTCGAGTTGACCTAATCTGAAAATTTCATGACCCTGACCCAAGTGACCTTTGACCTATTTCTCGAGGCCATGTTTGGCCGGAATCGCGATTCGGCGTATGTCGGCTCGCAATTAGCCGCGCGTTTGCAAGCTTTTCGTGGTTTCAAACGTTCAAACATGTGATTTGATGTTGCTCCCATGCATTAGGGTGGATGTCAAGGTCACCTGAAGGTCAGGTCAGGTCAATGACCTTTGGTGACCTCGGCTCACTTTTTCGAGTTTTACATGTTTCTGGGCTAGTTTTTGGAGCTGAATTCGAATTTAGAAACCATTTGAACATTTACGAAGCAGTTTTGGTGCCTTCGGGGCATTCCACGTCAAATCAAACACCAAAATCCGTCATCCCCTTCGATTTTTCTGAAAATTTGTAGGCAGACTGGGCATGGTTCAAAACTGAGTTACGTATAATATTTTCGAAATTTGATAACGTATCGCTGAGATATAGATCATCGAATATAGCGAAAAATGCCACACATCAATTTTTTAAATGGCTATAACTCTGATTCCTTTTCTGGTATCAATATGATATTAACAGGGTCTTATAGGCAATTGATAAGGCTTTGATTTTTAATTTTAAAATTAAATTGAAGTGACCTTGAAATGCATTTGACCTTGAATTAAATCAGAAAAATTTAAATAGCAAAAAACACGTCACCTTCGATTTGGGTAATTTTTACATATTATGTCCGTCACAATGTTCCTAACCATCTGTGAAAAAATTGGAGTGGGCCATTCATAAATTTCGCGGCAAACGCCGTTTTCATGCATCAACATCACGCAACCGCGCGTGACCTTGAAAGACAGAGTCAAGACATGCTTGCTTGTGTACACTTTCTGAAATGAATGATTGCTGATTAGTGATATCCCAAACTCTGCGAGAATGGAAATGCATAGTCATCGTAGTCAAGCATTCACGTTCCATAGTAAAAGTGTCTCAGGCAAACGGTATTTTGCGGTGAATTTTGAGCCGTGTGGAAATGCATCATGAAGTAAATTCAACGAAAACATTATCACGCAACGATATCTTCAGGTCTTTTGATCTTCACTATACGAAAGAACATACATTTTTTAGTATGTATGGGGAATTTCTAGTTAATCCAATAATAAATATGGCAGTTAGAGGCCTGCTAAGAGTAACATGTCGCCGGCTGAGGCGGGCTCGGCCGATGCGGGAAACGCAGCAATCACAATTTTGTGTTTACACGTTCTTTTTCCAATTGTTTAACAACCGATTTTCAAAATTCTTTCACCATAAGATTGCCTGTACATTTCTTAGTCTTCTCACAAAATTTGACGCGAATCAAACGTAATCAGCGGTAGGGAGCGCGATGTAAAGACGGAACCGTTCCGTTCCGTCCCGGCACAGTCTACAATTCAGGCGGCGCGTAGCGGTCGCCGCCGGCTGCCGAGTCGCCGCGTCGCTGCGGCGACAGGATGTTCACTTTACACCGCTATTACTAGAACAGTTGTGAACCGATTTTCTTATTGCTTGCACGATGAGATGTCCAATTCAATTCTTGACAGGTAGCCATAATTAATTTCGCATTAATCTTATGAGATATTGGCGAAAAACAGGAGGGGTGGGCGAAATTCGCTCTTCCCCCTCCACTGCGCGTGCTAACATACGTTTGCATATGTGCAATTTTCTTCAAAACTTATGAATGGCCCACTCTAATTTTTTCACAGGTTGTTAAGAATATGGTAGGCAATAAAATATATGAAAATGAGCCAAATCGAAGGTGACGTGTTTTTTGCTATTTCAATATTTGTGCTTAAGAACAGAGTTAAGCAAATTTCAAGGTCATACATTTAAGTAGGTGCAATTCTAAACAAATGCTTAAGAAATTACCTAAACAGTAAGGTTTATTTCATTCTAATCAAACAACTACAACCAAAGTTATGGTCGTTCAAAAATATAAAGATGCAACATTTTGTAAAAATTTGATGCCCTATAGGTATTTAGAAGACCTGTGGTCAGAATGTGCAAAAAAACATCAATGTAATGTCCGGGGCCACACAGGAACTCGCTCACAAATTTATAATGAAATCGCTGATGGTAAGGTGCAAAACAGCCGATTTTTGTTCGATTTGACGTGGAATGCCCCCTTCGTAACATGTTACGAAACTGTCAGAGGCGGTTGACACCTACTACGAATACCCGTCACGACCCCTACTGGTTGACTTGACCTGACCTGACCCGACCTGTTCTAAATGCTTTAAGACATCATCTGTGATAAAAACTAACATGATATTCGTGATCAGCACCCCGGAAACCCCATAGCAGCTACACTTTACGACTTTTTAACAGGTTCCGATTTCCCCGACTTTTGGGTCATTAACCTGACCTGGAAGATCAACCAATGACCTAGGACTTTAAAATTGGGTATCATCGGCTTCGTATCGTGACGGGCAGCACGCTCGTTTTTTTCTGCGAAGCTCAAGCTCGGTCAGGGGCCAAACGGCAAGGGGGGGGGGGTCCAACCGACCCCCCCCACACACACACGTTAGAAGCTGGCAAACGCCGCACACATGCGAAGGTTATAGTGCACTGTTTCTAAATCAATAATAACAAGACCGATATTTCATCATCGAATTCGGCTGAAGTCTGACCGTCACGTGGCTGCCTATCGCTCAGTTTCGGTCCGAATGCCGCTGACGTGTCGAAGTCTGTGCGGACTCGGGTGTGTTTGGTCGCTCCGTCTGCCCTGTCATCGCCCGGCGCAGGCAGTCAAGGTAAGTCGGACGAGCAGACGGCCGCCCCCGCCTTATGGCCCGCCCGGCGCTGCCCGGTCGGTCGGCCGCCACCCACCCCGCCGTCTATTGACACTGGACACACGACTGCGGCGATCCGCGGCGCGCCGCAGTCGAGCCCGGCGCGCGCCGTGTCTTCACCGGTGTGCTGCACGCGCGACACGGCTCCTAATGCACGGTGGGGTGCGGGCGGGAGCGGCGACTGTGCCACTGATGCAGCTCGCCGTCTGTAGCCTCGCTGTGGAGTGATTGTGATTGTTGTCCGGGGCGGGTGCAGTGGGGTCGGACGGAGAGGGGGAGCGGGGCGGTGACTGGTGAGTCAGGGTCGTGTGATGTGCAGACTGGCCAGTCGGACCCTGACACGACCCCCACCCGTGCAGCGCGGCTCGGCACTGGGCACAGTCCACCGGCACCTTCCGGCCGGACGCTCCATTGACGCCGGCTCGGCGGGCTCACTCGGCGCCGTTTTTACTCTGCCGTTCACTATGCTGCCGTCCCGTTCTGCGTCAGATGGACGGACAGAGGGTGCCGGAGGGACCCAGTTTACTATTTAGTCTGCGGCGCTGAGCGTTTTTGCGCGTGCGACGACCGTTCGCCGTACTGCAGCTGCCCTGCTGCAGCTGCCTGCTGCGCCCAGCCGCGGCAGGCAGCGGCCGTCGACGGTGGCTGTGGTTGACCAGCTGCCCCGCTGCAGCTGCCTGCTGCATTCAGCCGCGTCCCCTCAGCAGTCAGCGGTCGACAGTGGCTGTCGTGGTGAGCGCCGGCCTTCCCTGCTCTGAAGGTTAATAAAAGCCTTCCAGCAGTTTGTCGCTAATGATATAATAATGATTAATGATCCACTTGAGTTCGCTTCTTCATGCGGCCACAGTCTGTTCGCCTCGGTGACGGGTGCAATGGGACTCACGGAGACTCGGAACTCGGAATAAACACTTTGGAATGTAGTACGACGAGGAATGTTTGAGTAGGACGTAAGACGTGCGAGCAAGAACCGCACACCATCTCTCATTGCTCGGTACTCATTATTGCTTCGAGGAAACCGAGAACGGCTCAAAGGCTACACCTGATGGTGTAGTTTTATCGAATCATCACAAATGAAAAGCTAAGATACAGCCCTCATATGCAATGCTTATGTATACCTTGTTCTGGATTTCGTCATATTAGAAGTCTTATGTAAAATCAGTATAAATAAAGCACTTCGTAACCTATCTGGTTTTAACTATTTCACAATCTCCGAACACTCAATTAGGTAGGCACTTCCGCTCCACCAGTTCTGATTTAGGTATGTAGGTATAGGTATCTCAAATCGCCGGGAAAGTTAAAATTTTAGATAGGTATGGGTACTGCTACCTATCTAATGCACAAGCGTTAGGTACGCAATCGTGTCACTTAAGGTCGTCCATCAGCTAGTGACCACCATTCACTCATTGTCAGACTAGGACGGTAGCTGGATGTGGTCGGCCGGACTTTGTGAGCGGCTGCCGTCCAGACGCGTCGGCCCCGCGGATACGGGTCGTGGTGCCCTTCTTAGAAAGACACGACCGATCGCTGACGCAGCTTCGGGTACGACCTGGGTGGGTGGCGCAGCCGGCGAACCGAGGAAGGTCGCCGCGACGGACGGACGGACAGACGGACAGACGGGATGAGGGATGAGGGATAGACACAAGACAGACGAACAGCCAGACGGACGGACGGACCGGAAGACGGACGGACGGACGGACGGACGGACGGACGGACGGACGGACGGGCGGGCGGACCGACGGATTGTCAGTCCGTCCGGCAAGTAGTGATAAGACGTTGAAGCATAATATGAATCGAGCCCCCTCTGATTGCTTATCACTTGAATAGGCGCCTCAAGTATTTTTTATATATTTTCAGGAGATCAGTGCTGGAGCCAAGGCTATGCCTATAGAACTCCGCTGCAGCATGCAATAATATGATCGGACCATTCCAAGCCGTGTATAAGACCTCTTTGATAAATTCATGTCAGATCTGCTCTGCTTGATAAGTTCTCGAATTCAGCAGTATTCCTATCTTCTGAAATTTGAAGCATTGAACTGGTAGTTTTGGTTTAGGTTCTGGTTTATTTTAGTTATAATTATAGCTTTAGCTCAGATGCTAAGGGAGGCGCCCTAAACTCCCCTTTCTCAAGTTTGTGGAATCCAATTCGCTTAGAGCTGCTGCCTGCTAGTGATTCATCTCTAGCTGACCGTTTGTAAAATGCTACCTAAATAAAGCAATTGTCATTGTCACGTGATGCTAACGGGTGCCTATCACTGGAAATACAACCACTGCCAGACATTGTGTGTCTGGGGTAAATAGAAGGCGCCCGCTGCTCCGGCCCGTACCTGTGTGTAATGTGTGCTTGCCTCCAGTTCTGTCGTGTGTTTACCTCCAGCTCTGCCGCGGAATTCCATTGAACTGCAAGGATTGCGTCCGATGGATCGATAAATATCTCGCTGTCACTGCTGTCTGACATGAATAACAATGAGCAAGCGATGGGCGACACGCATTTACCTGATTTCGTTACAGGCGTGCGGTTAAAAGACAGAGCGTTTAAACAATAAAACAAATAGGTACGCATGTAAAAATCGATATAAATACGTAAATACATGCGACATCGACCTGTCGGCTAACTCTGCATGCTGACAAAGATGACTCATCGCCTTTGCAGGCTTTGCTGCTGTCTGAGCAGTGAGCATGTTCACGTGGAAGTTTCCTTTGGGTACCCCGTTACACCAGTCAGTGACGAAACACCCTCCGCTGACCGGCGCGCAGACAGACAGACAGACACACACGGGCGGCCAGTGATGAATGGGCCGACGCCGGTACGCTGACACGGCCAGACCTTGTCCCCGCCCGGCCGACGTGTATACAGGGGGTACTGGGTAGGTGGTTCGCAAAGTGTCTTATGACGGACAGATTCACCGTTTGAGGTAATACACGTGATGTTTGCTTCAAACAGACGTATGTGCGTGAAAGGGTCAACGGGCTTAACCCTCGCCCGTATAGGGGGCGAGGGTTAACCTCTCTCCTCGGTTTTTCGCGAATAACTCGCGTAAAAAGCGGCCGATCGCGACGAAACTTTCAGTACCCTCGCGTTTTTCAATTTTCCACCTACCCTGCAATTTTCATGACTCTTACCCTAATGACCTTTGACCTGAGACCTACTTTTCGAGACCATGTTTGGCAGGAATCGCGATTCGGCGTATGTCGGCTCGCATTAGCAGCGCGTTTGCAGTCTTTTCGTGGTTTTAAGCGTTCAAACATGGGATATGATGTTGCTCCCATGCATGAGGGTGGGTGTCAAGGTCACCGGAAGGTCAAGTCAGGTCATTGACCTTTGATGACCTCGTTTCACTTTTTCGAGTTTTACATGTTTCTAGGCCAGTTTTTGGAGCTGAATTCGAATTTAGTAACCATATAAACATTTACGAAGTAGTTTTGGTGCCTTCGTAACATGTTACGAAGCTGTCAGAGGCGGTTGCCACCTACTACGAATATCCTCACTGGTTGGTTGACCTGACCTGACCTGAACCGACCTGGCCTAAATGCATGAAAACATCATCTGTAATCAAAACTAACATGATTTTCGTGATCAGCACCCCGAAAAACCCCATAGCAGCCACGCTTTACGACCTTCTAACAGGTCCCGATTTTCCCGACTTTTGGGTCATTGACCTGACCTGGAAGGTCAACCGATGACTTAGGACCTTAAAAATGGGCATCATCAGCTTCCTTTCGTCACGGGCAACACGCTCGTTTTTTTCCGCGAAGCTCTAGCTCGATCAGGGGCGAAACGGCAAAGGGGGGGGGTCCAACGGACCCCCCCCCCCTCTTATACGTTCGCGGCTGGAAAACACCAATACGGGCGAGGGTTAAGGACACGTAGTGTGGGATCTGCTACTTTCAAGTTTTCTTTTGAGTTTTTATCATAGATCGTTTAGACGACAGTAATATATCAATTTGGCTTTGCTCATTGACATGTAAGCACGCATTTTGATTTTTCCAGGCTATTTAAACAAGCGACTTTGATGCATTCATAGCTGATATACTGTGCCGCAGTGCACCACATATGTTATACTTAATACTGTACCGCAGTGCAAGAATGATTGGCATTATATGCCGCAGAACACCACTGATTGGAATACCTACTGTTCCGCAGTGCGCCACATACATATTGGTATACTGTGCCGCAGTGCACCACATATTGTTATACTCTGTGGTTATACTGTGCCGCAGTGCACCACTGATTGATATACTGTGCCGCAGTGCATCAATGATTGGCATTCCGCATCGCAGTGATTCACTGATGACACAAGTAACTAGGCATGACGGCCAGATCCTTTCCTTTGTTTCGATGCAAGTGCCATGAGACACATCCAATTCGCAGCTTATTATGCAGCCTAACGCTCATAAAAAGCGCAATCGTGCATAACTATAACATCACATGAGAGTCCGATACCAAATAATTGTATTCCAAGTGTGCGTATTCATTACCTATCAAGCTAAGGATAACTGAGGTGGCTCTGTCTCCGGGTGTGCGATCTGCACTCGGGCAGATTATATCGCACTGTTGGCCATCTGGCTGTTGTACCCCGAGGGGCTGGACGGTGCCGCCTACTTTTCCCGCTTGTAGACGCGCGTGGCAGTTATATCGTCCACTGTGCATTTCTGAAAACGACAGAAATACATGGTGGTTAGTTGAACTTTGAAGACAAACAGCTACGTCGAGTCAATTCAAGTTGAAATAATTATCCAACATCACCTTGCGATTTTATAATAGTTACATAATAATGTTTTGAATCCATAACAAGAAATAGACTATGTAATGCAAATAAAACACAAGGTTTTCATTCTTGAACGTTAATGGATAATTAAAATCCTTAAAATATATTATGTTAATATACACCAACAAGGTGTTCAACTAGCCCACCGATTTGTTATTTATAGTCATCTATTCAACACGGCTCCTCTATTCTTTTCTTTAAGAGACATTATTATTGCATCACACACAGCCCCGGGCGGTGAACGCGGGGCGCCACGGGCCGTTCCCGGCTCACCAGAGTCATGGTGTCTCCGTCGAAGGTGCGCCGGAGCACGGTGTCCTTCTGGCCCTTCTCCGTGTCACCCTTCTGGTCGTGCACCAGTGTGCCGTCCTCCCAGGTCATGGTCGACTGGGGAGAGGCCGCAGGGCGGTCAGAGAGGGCAGATGTCCGGTCTGTGCCTCAGCGGCGGAACATCCGAACTCCGCGGCAACAATCCGGGTCAGTTTATAGAGACACTTCCGCACACCTCCGTGAGTGTGTCACAAAATGACCTCAGCTTAGGAAGTAGGTCACAAATGCGAAACTATATATTTTCATACACTCTGCAACCTTTAACATACAGACTTAAAGTGCCAACAATAGGCGGATGGAGGGCGGGGGGGGGGGAAGGCATTTGGGGGCAAATGCCTCCTCGCAGCGCCCTATCAATCGATGAAAAATAGTCGTTTTTCTAGGATAAATAGAACGAAAATTTGATTGCTTTAACTTTTTATGAAAAAACGTTTGCCCTTAACTACACCGAGGTCCACAAGCAACCTGACTCCGAGGAGATTTTGTAATGGCCGGAAAAAAAACTGTTTTGGGTTCCCCCTCTTCCAAGATTCCTTTACTACTCCCCTCCCCAGCGTCTGAGACCGCCTATATACATATGTATGGATCCGTCTTTGAGTGTCAAAGGTATCATTCAGTCGGTGTAACTGAGGGAACGATTAACCTTCCAGACGGTGGAGGGGGGGGGGCATTTTTTTTGCCCCCCTTTAGTTTTTTCGATATATCTCGAGAACCGCTGCGCCGATTGTCACCAAACTTTCAGTACCCTCCAGTGAATAGCTATTGCACATTGTGACCAAAAATTTTCCAAAGGCTATGATAGATTGGCCGCTAAAGACGTCAGAGTGACGTCATTTTTGCCATTTTCGACCCAAAAAAAGGTTTCGCGGGAAGAGCTGTCGCCTGTCAGGCCTACAGCTTTAGAGATACAGAAAAATGTTTCAGACATAAGAAGTGTAGAATTAGAAGGGCTACAAAACTGCTATCTCGGATTTTTGAATGTTTTGGATTTTGACCCCCAAAAATAAAAAATAGATTTTTTGAATATAATAGCCGAAAAATCAAAAAAGTTTTTTTTTTTAATTTCGAAAAGAAACCTGAATATATAAGATATTCCCTATCACGTTCTATCTACACATCAAATTTGGGATCGATCCCTCTTTTTTTGGCCAAGTTATAGCAAAAAAACTTCAAAAATTGATGACGTCAAATTTTCAAACTCAATTTTTAGCAATTCTAGACCTAGTAGCGCAAAACAAAGACCACCATTAGACTCCCCGTGACGAGCTGCATCGAATCAATACCCATTTTATGCAAAAATATCAACTTTGAAATTTGACCTTTTTTACCTGACCTTGACCTGACCTCCACCAGAAAGTGACCTAAACCGTACCTGATGGTCTATAGCCAACTGACCAACACCATTGAGTTGGAAATGAAAAACTGGCCATAAAACATGCATCGCACAACCTTAGTAAAGTTGGGTTCATGTGGTGACTCTTGGTGACCTTTGGTGACCTGACCTGTGACCTGACCTGGTATGACCAGTGACCTCTAATAGCAACATATGTACTAGACAACTGACGCTCTATCGCTGATTTTCGACAAAATGCGTTTTACTCGGTGTTATAGCGCTTTCCCTTAGAAGCCCTGTGAACGGTGAAACATTTTATCTTTGACCTGACCTGTGACGTCATCGGTGACCCCGAGGTCAATGAAATTTGGTTTCCTTCGACAAATTTGACAGGGCTATCGAACGCCGTTTGAATTTTCGGATCCGTCCAGTAGTTTCGGAGATACGGGGAGGACAAAAAATGCCCCTCCCCCACCGCGCGGAAGGTGGCCGGGAGGCCCACCGCCTGCCGGGTTAATTTTTACGTGTGTTGGAGAGACGCCACCATGATTTGCACGGCCGTCTGCGCCGACTCACCGGTGACCCCGGCTGACCCGGACTGACCCGAACTGACCCTGGACTGACCCGGACTGACCTTGACCTTCCTGCCGTCGCCGTCTGCGCCGACTCACCGGTGACCCCGGCTGACCCGGACTGACCCGAACTGACCCTGGACTGACCCGGACTGACCTTGACCTTCCTGCCGTCGCCGTTTGCGCCGACCCACCGGTGACCCGGACTGACCCCGGCTGACCCCGGCTGACTCGGACTGGCCCTGGACTGACCTTGACCTTCCTGCCGTCGGCCGTCTCCTCGTTGAACTGCTCGCCCAGCCGGAAGGTGATGGTGGTGGTCTTGAAGGCAGTGCAGGTAGTCAGTTGGAAGGTGCCGCCCTGCTCCGAGATCTCCACCGTCGGGGAGGCCGTGCTGGCCATCTTCCGCAGCATCACGTTCACGTCTGACACACAGGGCGGGGGGGGGGGGTCAGCTGGGGCAGCCGGGTCAAACCAGGCGGCTTGGCCGCGTAACTGGGTGGTTTTCACCTATGCGGACGCCGGACGGTTTGAGGATAAATGACATTTGAAATGAATCACGGTCAACAACCTTTCTAGTTAGTTTCTGACCTGAGTGCCCTGTATAGGATCCGTAATACGATGCCATGCACGACTACAGTCTACATAGATCGAAGTGGATAAGTCGTTGGGTTTTGTGTGCTTTGTGTGCTTTAGAAGCATTATTATTCTTGTTCGTGCTGAGGGTTTCAATACCACTTATTTACATGCCACACGAATTTCAGGTCTGCAATGACTTGATTGATGACGTGAGGACTGCTTCGCAATGAATGACACGCTGAGTAAAGTAATCGCCTGAAAAGTCAGCGACCTGATGTCGGTGCAAGTGTATACGCAGTCTGTAGCGCGCCCTGTCAGCACACCCATCGGTGCAATGTGATCAATTTGATTGTCTTCGAATGAGTTCGATACATACTTACCGAGCGCCTTCATATATTCGTCGAAGTTTTCGCTCGACTCCATCTTCCACTTTCCGATCATCGTCTCCGTCATGGTGTATGTCTGTCTGTGTGTCCGTCTGTCTGTGTGTCCGTCTGTCTGTGTGTCCGTCCGTCTATCTGTCCGTCCGTCTATCCGTCGGTTTGTACTTTGTAAACGTTTGTCGTATGTCAGTCTCTGTCTGTTGACCCGTAAGGCTGTCCCTCTACTCGTCTGCGTGAGGACCGTTTCTGCCCGTCCACCCGTCTCTCGAACGCCTCCGCCTCCGTCTCGGTCTCCGGAATGTCTCCGCCCCCGACGGCCTGAGTCTCCGCTGTCCCGCCGGCTGCGTCCGATATCCTCCCCCGCCGACGTACAAACACCAATAACAGCGCGCTTAAACCCGACGCCGGCCTAGAGGCGCGGCCAATTGATCCGCCGGAGCTGCCATATGATCCGGATCAATCTGGCAGCCCTGGCCAAACCTTGACCAGTCTGACACGAAGGATGCGAATTGTTCGTGGAAATACGGACCGTGGAGCGTTGCGCCCGTGAGACGTGACATGTGCATACGGGCAGCTTTGTCATTGGGTTCAAAAGACTGCGAACCTGAATCAATGGTGTTCTACCTTTCGTGAAGTAAACGGACCGGAGAACCCCGCTTAGATGTTCCCGGTAGAGTGAAGTTGAGCTAGCGAACATCTTGTCACGATTAGCATCATTCCTCAGCACGAGTAAATGCCTACACCTTCGCTCAGTCAATGAAAAGTCGCGGTTGTCACTAGCTTTATCTCATCCGCCCCCCCCCCCCCCCCCGAGTAATTCGCTTCGAATTCCTCTACCAGTTCGATACCTCCAATGCCATCAATACATCAACCAATACCTTCTCAACGTCCGCATTTCAAATAGTCAAATAGTTTCAAATATTTTAAATGAAATACCGACCGGCTGTCAGTTGTCACCCATTGCGACTGCGGACGGCAGAGGCAGACCCCACCTCTAGCGTCAGGATTGGACCCCGGTCAGAGAGGAATCTGTGTATTAACCGTTATAGATACGTAGTCATCTGCCCTATACCCAACACTCAGAACACACGCAAATTTATCAGCGACGTATATTTCCATAAAAATACATTGAACAACAGATCACAAGTAGCGCGGCGTCCCCTTACCGCTACGAAAGGCTGAAACCAATAACACAGTCCTTCCACTCAAACGATATGGTAACCCCATTCAGAAAATAGGTAGATGTGAGGCAACAGAAGCGGCTCAGATTCGTGCAGCGTTTCAGCCAGGACGGATATCGCAGTCGCAAGTTATCAGACTCGAAAGTCGCAGAGGCACACAGTGCTGCTGCAGTCTACGATTTGTACGTTTGATAAAAACGGAAATGTAACGGCTTGAATGCATCTAGACTTATCTAGACTTATTGACTGGCACAAACATGTTCTGAGAGGGCATTTTGGTGGATGGTGTTTCAAAAACGTAACCCGCGACCGGAGCGCCCACAGCGGCCACAGAGAAAACCCCAAGTCAGCGCTCCAGGCAGTAGTTGCCTCATCTACACGCGAGAGTGCGAGGCCGACCATGCCGCCGGCGGGAGCGATAGGATAGTTCCACGGTATTCTGTGCGGTCACAGACGAACATGAGCGTGCATAACACCCCGAACACAACCAGCATACGATACGACACCGCACGTAAAGGCAAACCGATCACACTCTGGTACATAACAAAACTGCAGCGGCCAGCCGGTCGACCGGGCGGAACAACAAATAACAGCCAAACGCCCCAGCGGTGCCCCGGAACCCGTGAAAGACAACTCGGCCCGGCGGGGGCCCATCACCCCGGGACCGTACGCCCAAAACACACCGGTAATACACCCCACAGTAACACCGCCCATACGGGGGTGACATCACCGCCGCTGGTACCGGCTCGCGGTGAGGCGGGGTGGCAGTCATACCCCACCCACCGCACCGGTCAGTCACAGTGGCACCGCTCGCCGCACAGGTCACCGTCACAGTAACAGCTCGCCGCACAGGTCACAGTCACAGTAACACCATCCACCGCACAGGCCACAGTCAGCTACCACCGCAGGAGCCGCGACGGCGCTCAGAGCGCACCCACAGCCGCGCCGTCTGATCAGGACACCGAGACTTACGGATATATTTATACCTGTCGGTGACTTCCCTTATCGACAAAAGATTTCGGGGGAAAGCTCCCCAGAGCGCGACAAGATTCTGTTAGCTCGAAACGCAGAGATGCGTTAAGAACGTGACACTGATCGCCTATAGCGCATCCTACCATCACTAGCATGCGCACAGGCACACAACTCCCCAGGCCTGTTTTGATACAGTCATGTATGTTACATAGGCACATGATGCCTGTGCAGGGTCACGCTACGCCAGACATTCAGAGCTCCAACATAGCTGTGCGCCCATCATGTGCATCGTGACTTAGAAAAAGACGTGAGGGCTAGCAAAGGCCTCATTAGTAATTTTACGCAGGGTACCCTGTTGTCGCCAACCATGCCTAGTCTGGAAACAGGCGAGAGGTAGCTTTATGGATAATCCAAAATTCGGAAGTACGTCAACTCTCTTCAGCTCCAAGCACAAGCTCGCCACCCCCATGGATCGGCGTCACTCGCCGTCGCCCCTGACCGACAGTGGGGTGACTGTCCGACCTCCTCCGTCCGTCCCGCGCCACCCACACCAGTGTGGCCTGTCCCGGGTCGGCGGTACGGGCGGTACGGGCGCCCCTACTACACCAGTGTGAACAGTCCGGGGTCGGTGGCTGGCGGGACAGGCGGGACAGGCGCCCCTACACCAGTGTGAACAGTCCCGGGTCGGCGGGACAGGCGCCCCTACACCAGTGTGAACAGTCCGGGGTCGGGGGCCGGCGGCTGCTCGTCGCCGCCGTCCGCCGGGCCGGGCTCCGACTCCAGGTCGTTGACGGCCCGCTCGAAGCTGTACTCGTAGTTGGCCGCCTGCTGCGAATGCTTCTCATGCTCCACGAGCGCCTCGTTACCGCCCATCTGCGAGCACGGGATAGTTAGTCAGTGGGCCGCGTGCAGCTGGGAGCGCCTCGTTACCGCCCATCTGCGAGCACGGGACAGTTAACCCGCGCCCTGCTGGGGGGGGGGGTGTTTGAACACCCCCCCTTGTGGTTTTTCGCGAATATCTCAAAAACGGCGGCGCGGAGCGCCGCCGTTTTTGGTACACCTTATCATACATCAATTCTACACATGTTGTGAAAATTTCAGACCAAGGTCATTCAAGGTCAGGTCACCAGGTCACTTGAAGTGACCTCACCTCATAAAAAGTTTCAATGTCTGTCATAGCTACACCGAGTGACCGATCGCTTTAAAACTTTCAGCGATTGCTAAGAGCAATAGCATGTACAAAATGTATATCTCAGAATTTTGATATCGATGACCTAAGGTCAGGTCAATTTTGCGACCTCCCCATTATAAGTCAATGGGAGAAAATTGAAATGCGCCTCTTTTGGATGAAAGACATTATAAACACTCCCAAACACCGAATTACAAGTGGTTTAGACACACTGAACATGAAAATGGTGTCCGTGACCCTTGTTTATGCCCTGAGGTCATCTTAGGTCACGAATGGTATCTAACAGTTTTTCGCAAATAACTTTTGATAGAGGCATGCTAGAGCGATGAAAACGCCTTAGATGTGTTCAGCTCGACGATACGGATCGACTGATATGCAACATGACCCTTTCCGGTCAGGTCATGACCTTGACCTGAGGTCAAATTTTCAAGTTGACCTTTCAAGGTCAAGTTATAGTTCATTCGATGCGTCTTGACGAGAGGAACACGATGCCGGTAAAGGTAAGCTCGTACAGGGCTTGGGTCAAAAGTTATTGCAGAAAAACTGTTTCCGAAAAAATCGGCTATTTTTGCAGTTTTTGCCCCCTGCAGGCAAAACCGTTGACGTTAGGTCAAATCTGAGAGAATTACTCAGAAAGGGCGTTAATAGGGCTATCGAATACGCTTTTCCGCGGCGCTGTAGCTCTATTGGTTCCCGAGTTATGCGTTGGTTTCTTGGAAATTTTCGCCATTCGACCTGGAAATCGGCGAAATTTTGCCTTCAATGACCTCTGGTGACCTGACCTTTGACCTGACCAAAAAATTGACCGAAGTGATTTCGTCATTATTTTTGACGCTCTTTCGAACGCCGCCTTCCGCGTATCGCTACGTGGCCCAGGAGCCGAGTTACAAGGGGGGGTGTTCAAACACCCCCCCCCAGCAGGGCGTGGAAATCCAGGACCCCCAGCCGGGCGCGGGTTAATCAGCTGGGCCGCGTGCAGCTGGGAGCGCCTCGTTACCGCCCATCTGCGAGCACGGGATAGTTAGTCAGTGGGCCGCGTGCAGCTGGGAGCGCCTCGTTACCGCCCATCTGCGCGCACGGGACAGTTAATCAGCTGGGCCGCGTGCAGCTGGGAGCGCCTCGTTACCGCCCATCTGCGCGCACGGGACAGTAAGGGGGTCAGCCGGGCCGCGTGCAGCTGAGAGCGCGGGCCGCCCATCTGAGCTCACAGGACAGGATAGGGAGTGGAGAGGAGCAGTCAGTCGAGTAAGGAGACGATCAACGAACGCCGTGGACGAGCTACCAGTGATACAGCAAACACGTCAGCCACACATAACTATAAATGATTTACAAACGGGAGCGTGGGTCGTAACTTATCAGCAGCATAGTACTTAGACTATTTGCTGTGGTGCCCACATAGCTCTGTCCGGTAAGAGAGGGAAAGGGTGAGCATTGTCACCACTGGCTTAGCGAATACCACCCTCTACGAAGGAGCGATGCGCCAGGTGGTCGTCCCCGGTTCCATACAAAACAAGCCTCCAGGGACAGAGGGCTGTCTGAGCCCAATGTCGGACCCCAGCTGCCAGGGGCAGATATGGTGAGCGCTGTGTCCTCACCATGACGGCGATGAGGGCGTTCTCGAAGGCGGCCATCTCCTCCTCACTGAGAGTGTGGTCCCGGTCCAGGTGGTCCACGTCCGGGAACTTGAGGAAGCGCACCTTTATCTCCGGACCTGGCGGCACGTGGCACGTCCGGTCAGGGTGGTCCGCAGGTCAGGTCAGGGTGGTCCTCAGGCCCGGTCAGGGTAGCACTGGCACTCAGGTCAGGTCAGAGTGGCTCCCAGGTAAGGTCACGGGTGACAGTGATCCCCATGCCAGACCCCCGGCTGGTGGCAGCCAGGGCGTCGGGTGTCCTTTTCACAGGACCCATCCAGACATCGATAATAATCAGGCAAGTAGACTTTCAGCGGAACACTCGACGTGAAGACCCTATAACCACAATCCAGCCATTAAAATGACTCGCTTAAATGTATCAGATACCACTGGCATTATATAGCAATTCGACAGGGACAGCACGTAGCTGAAGCACGTCCTATACCACTACCGAACAGGCCTGTCTCCCGAGCACCGCTCCACGTTGGTCTCTCTCCCTCTCCCCACTCGGCTCACCGTGGGCTCCTCATCCCCATCTTAGTTTATCTCGCCTTTCCCTGTCACCATTGGTTTAGCTGATCAATCCTCTCCCCTTGGTTTATCTCTCATCTCTCCACTCACCGCTCGTCTCCCTCCCCAGCCACTCTATTCGTCAGATCACCTCCCAACTGTTCTCACCGTTGGTATCCAGTCCGACTTTGTGCAGTTTCTGTTTGACGGCCCGCTCTATCTGGACCCGCTGTTCGCGGTCAATCTCACTGATCTGAACCATTTTGTCCAGACCCAGGGAGCGCAGAGTGGAGAACTTTACTCGTTTCTGGCGGCAGAGAGAGGACTGCGGTCACAACCTTCAGTGGCAGACTCACTGCCTCGCCGGGACGAGTGTACAAAGGCAGCCGCACGGGGGCGACACAGTCCAGGCTGTGAAACAGTGAGGCAAGAATAAGTGTTTTCGAGTTAGAAAAAGGCAAAAAATAGCAAGTGAATTTTCTCTGAACATTGCTGCATAAATCATATTGTAATAAGGCATCATCATATTTTTTTTTTTTGCAAGGCGGAATTTAATCCATTATATAAGCGTAGATATTGCACGTATTAATGTCACATACGTATTGAATATTTATACCGTGCACGTGGAGCTCTGTATACCTCTGAATTGCATACTGTGGAGTTCTGTACCTTTTTCGGTGAGTCAGCAGACTCCTCCAGATCATCCTCCTCATCCTCATCCTCTGTATCGTCCTCGTCGGAGTCCTCAGAGGACAGCGGACTGTCCTCCACAGAGGAACTCCCCTTGTCCTCAGACGAGCTCCTTCTGTCCTCGGAGGAGCGCTCAGAGTGCGTCCTCAGCAGCTCCAGTACGTCCAGCGTGGCTGTCAGAGGACCGGGCACTGTCAGTGGGCGCCGCAGCCCCCCCCCCCTTGGACACCGGTGGTCAGTACGGCAACCCCCCCCCCCCCCCACCGGTGTTCAGTACGGCAGCCCCCTCCCCTTCGCGGACACCAATGGTCGGTACGGCAGCCCCCCCCCCCTCCCCTCTCGGACACCGGTTGAGCAAAGTATCCACCATTACACGGCGTCTCTGAAAGCGTCGCCCTTACCCTGCTCCTCGGAGTCGGCGTCTGTCGGCTCAGCACTATCGCCTGTGGGGTCCGCATCCCCTACGGCCGGGTCGGATTGGCCTTCGGTCGGTGACTCGGAGTCCACCGGTGACTCAGAGTCCACCGGGGACTCTGAGTCCTCCGTGGACTCCAGGTCGGCCTGCCAGGTCAGCAGCTCCGCCTGCCACACCTGCCGACAGACAACAGGAGCGGTAAGGACTCCGTCAGCTGTCAGCTGACGATGCTGTGCCGTGGCGGCCGACGCCCCACAGGTTAGGGGTGCAGTCAGGCACTGCTATCCACATCATAACTGACGGAGAGACTACGTCTACCCGTGTCTGCAGAGCGGCGCTCGTTGGCGGGCGGTCCGCTGATGCCTACTCACCTCCGTATCGGCGAAGAAGCGTCGCAGCTGGACAGAGAGCTGGGAGAGGCTGGCCATGGTGGAGATCAGGTGGCCCAGGGTGCCGTCCGTCACCATAGCCGGCTCGCTGCTCATAAACTCCTTCAGCCGGCGGGACTCGTCCGATATACCGACCATCACCTGAGGGACAGTGTCAGACATCAGAATTCAGACCCTCCTCTGATCCCGGTATATTGGGCGGGACTCGTCCGATATACCGACCATCACCTGAGGACAGTGTCAGACATCAGACCCTCCTCTGATCCCGGGCGGGACTCGTCCGATATACCGACCATCACCTGAGGGACAGTGTCAGACATCAGAGCCTCCTCTGATACCGGGCGGAACTCGTCCAATATACCGACCATCACCTGAGGACAGTGCCAGACATCAGACCCTCCTCTGATCCCGGGCGGGACTCGTCCGATATACCGACCATCACCTGAGGGACAGTGTCAGACATCAGACCCTCCTCTGATCCCGGTATATCGGCCGGGACTCGTCCGATATACCGACCATCACCTGAGGACAGTGCCAGACATCAGACCCTCCTCTGATCCCGGTATATCCGCCGGGACTCGTCCGAGATACCGACCATCATCTGAGGACAGTGTCAGACATCAGACCCTCCTCTGATCCCGGGCGGGACTCGTCCGATATACCGACCATCACCTGAGGGACAGTGTCAGACATCAGACCCTCCTCTGATCCCGGTATATCGGCCGGGACTCGTCCGATATACCGACCATCACCTGAGGACAGTGTCAGACATCAGACCCTCCTCTGATCCCGGTATATCGGCCGGGACTCGTCCGATATACCGACCATCACCTGAGGACAGTGCCAGACATCAGACCCTCCTCTGATCCCGGTATATCCGCCGGGACTCGTCCGAGATACCGACCATCATCTGAGGACAGTGTCAGACATCAGACCCTCCTCTGATCCCGGGCGGGACTCGTCCGATATACCGACCATCACCTGAGGGACAGTGTCAGACATCAGACCCTCCTCTGATCCCGGGCGGGACTCGTCCGATATACCGACCATCACCTGAGGACAGTGTCAGACATCAGACCCTCCTCTGATCCCGGGCGGGACTCGTCCGATATACCAACCATCACCTGAGGACATTGTCAGACATCAGACCCTCCTCTGATCCCGGTATATCGGGCGGGACTCGTCCGATATACCGACCATCACCTAAGGACAGTGTCAGACGTCAGACCCTCCTCTGATCCCGGGCGGGACTCGTCCGATATACCGACCATCACCTGAGGACAGTGTCAGACATCAGACCCTCCTCTGATCCCGGGCGGGACTCGTCCGATATACCAACCATCACCTGAGGACAGTGTCAGACATCAGACCCTCCTCTGATCCCGGTATATCGGGCGGGACTCGTCCGATATACCGACCATCACCTGAGGGACAGTGTCAGACATCAGACCCTCCTCTGATCCCGGGCGGGACTCGTCCGATATACCGACCATCACCTGAGGACAGTGTCAGACATCAGACCCTCCTCTGATCCCGGGCGGGACTCGTCCGATATACCAACCATCACCTGAGGACAGTGTCAGACATCAGACCCTCCTCTGATCCCGGTATATCGGGCGGGACTCGTCCGATATACCGACCATCACCTAAGGACAGTGTCAGACGTCAGACCCTCCTCTGATCCCGGGCGGGACTCGTCCGATATACCGACCATCACCTGAGGACAGTGTCAGACGTCAGACCCTCCTCTGATCCCGGGCGGGACTCGTCCGATATACCGACCATCACCTGAGGACAGTGTCAGACATCAGACCCTCCTCTGATCCCGGGCGGGACTCGTCCGATATACCAACCATCACCTGAGGACATTGTCAGACATCAGACCCTCCTCTGATCCCGGTATATCGGGCGGGACTCGTCCGATATACCGACCATCACCTGAGGGACAGTGTCAGACATCAGACCCTCCTCTGATCCCGGGCGGGACTCGTCCGATATACCGACCATCACCTGGCGGACAGTGTCAGACAACAGACCCTCCTCTGATCCCGGTATATCGGGCGGGACTCGTCCGATATACCGACCATCACCTGAGGACAGTGTCAGAAATCAGACCCTCCTCTGATCCCGGGCGGGACTCGTCCGATATACCGACCATCACCTGAGGACAGTGTCAGACATCAGACCCTCCTCTGATCCCGGGCGGGACTCGTCCGATATACCAACCATCACCTGAGGACAGTGTCAGACATCAGACCCTACTCTGATCCCGGTATATCGGGCGGGACTCGTCCGATATACCGACCATCACCTAAGGACAGTGTCAGACGTCAGACCCTCCTCTGATCCCGGGCGGGACTCGTCCGATATACCGACCATCACCTGAGGGACAGTGCCAGACATCAGACCCAACCTCTGGTCCCGGCCGGGACTCGTCCGATATACCGACCATCACCTGAGGGACAGTGTCAGACGTCAGACCCTCCTCTGATCCCGGGCGGGACTCGTCCGATATACCGACCATCACCTGAGGGACAGTGCCAGACATCAGACCCTCCTCTGCCCCCGGGCGGGACTCGTCCGATATACCGACCATCACCTGAGGACAGTGCCAGACATCAGACCCTCCTCTGATCCCGGTATATCGGGCGGGACTCGTCCGATATACCGACCATCACCTGAGGACAGTGTCAGACATCAGACCCTCCTCTGATCCCGGTATATCGGGCGGGACTCGTCCGATATACCGACCATCACCTGAGGGACAGTGTCAGACATCAGACCCTCCTCTAATCCCGGGTGGAGGGCGGGGGAGGGAGGGACTCGTCCGATATACCGAATATCACCTGAGCCGAACAGGGAGGGTCAGCACGACAATGGACGAGCCTTGCTGGCGAGATAGTAGGCAGTGGGGAGGGGGGGGGGGGTTGTATATTTTAAACAAAATGATGATGAACCGATACAAGCCATGCATGCCAATAATTATTCATCGCAGTCCAAGTCGTTTCGACACGACGGTGACAGTTTAAAAGCAATAACAACATGACAATATTTGGCATACGAGGGAAAGATATGGATCGTCTCAAAACGCACACATAAACAGATATGTGGTCATACTTACCCGCGATCGAATTCGTGTGACAAGACATTCGAAGGCAGCTATACCACTGAGAAGACAGTCAGTGTGTCGGTGTAGGCCGGCAGGTCACTATCTGAGCCATCAGAGTCTTTACACCCTCCCCTCCCCTCCCCTCCCCGAGCGTGTCCGCCAGTACCGTACAGTACCTCAGAGAAGACGGCCAGTGTGTCCGTGTAGGCCAGCAGGTCGCTGACAATCTGCGCCGTCAGAGAGTCTTTACACCCTCCCCTCCCCGCCCGTACCGTACCTCAGAGAAGACAGACAGTGTGTCCGTGTAGGCCAGCAGGTCGCTGACAATCTGCGCCGTCAGAGAGTCTTTACACCCTCCCCTCCCCGCCCGTACCGTACCTCAGAGAAGACGGACAGTGTGTCGGTGTAGGCCAGCAGGTCGCTGACTGAGCCGTCAGAGATTCTTTACACCCTCCCCTCCCCTCCCGAGCCGTACCTCAGAGAAGACGGATAGTGTGTCGGTGTAGGCCAGCAGGTCGCTGACAATCTGCGCCGTCAGGTAGTGGCCGCGGTCGGCCAGTTCGAACAGCGCCTGCGGACCACGGACTCGGTCAGTGGTGGCTACGGTAACGCCTAACGGGCCAGGTCATAGGCACCGGCTACAGGGGTGCTCTGGCAACACCGGTATGACTGCAGTGGCAGAGTGGCTCCTCTACAGCACGGACAAATACAGCCGAAAGCCTACCAACAGACGCAATGAATGCCAATTATGACAGAAAAAAATTCACACACCGCAAGAACATTGTTGAGTAGGTGTGTTATAGTCGTACAATCTTAGGAACAAATGTGTCCTATTTGAATGCATTTCACAACTCAAAAGTTGGTCTCTCTGCCGTCGTGGCCCAGGACGCGCGCCCGGTACCCCGCTAAAGGGCTATATCTCATTCTCAACCCAATCTTATCTGCGTGCGCGCCGTGGTAATCGGGTGCGCCGTGGTACCCCGCCCCACTGGGACAGTGCCTCACCCTGATCCCACGCTGGGGCTGCGAGTTGCAACTCACCTTGATCCCCTGCTAAGCTGCGAGCTGTAACTCACCCGGATCCTGTCGGCGTGCGCGGCGTGGTGCTCGCGCGCGGCACCCCTCCCCCTCCCCCTGGGGCTGAGAGCTGTAACTCACCCGGATCCGGTCGGCGTGCGCGGCGTGGTGCTCGCGCGCGGCACCCCCTCCCCCTGGGGCTGCGAGCTGTGTCTCACCCGGATCCGGTCGGCGTGCGCGGCGTGGTGCTCGCGCGCGGCACCCCCTCCCCCTGGGGCTGCGAGCTGTAACTCACCCGGATCCGGTCGGCGTGCGCGGCGTGGTGCTCGCGCGCGGCACCCCTCCCCTCCCCCTGGGGCTGCGAGCTGTAACTCACCCGGATCCGGTCAGCGTGCGCGGCGTGGTGCTCGCGCGCGGCGCGGTGCCGGTCCTGGAGCTCATGCAGACGCTCCAGGCCGTACTCCTTCTCTGCAGCAGAGCGAGCGGACAGAGTCGTCAGTCAGAGGACGGCGCATCACCAGTCACAGAGCGGATACGTGAGGTACTACACGGCAAAAGGATGTCGGAGCTGCAGAATCAGGTGCATTTAAAATGTCTTGCACTTCTAGCATTCATTTTCTCGGATACCAATGGTTGGATTTGCTAATCATCAGCCTGGTAAGATTCGGCTTGTATTTGATAATATTGATGGATAATATCATATTGGTGTGACAATTGACATATGATAAATTAAGCAAAATATGCATGACAGTGTAAGGCATACCAGCCAAAAATAAAAAGCCAATCCAACTGAGGAGATACTGAAGAACGGCTCTTACCTGTGTTAAATTCCGATACTATGTGAACGTAGTTGTGAATGACGTCCTCCAGTACATTGCCAAGCTTATTTGTCTGAGCTGCGATTCCGTCAAACAAGTGCTTCGCTGAAAAGGGAAACAATTGCTGTATTGTGAAGTCGCCAAAACGCCAGCTTAAACAACATAACATCACATAGATTATCAATAGCGCATCAAGGGAAGATGCAAAATGGCAAGATCCGGTGACTATCAAACAGTGTCAGCAACAGATCGTTCTGTGGCCGCTCACCTTTCTCCAGGTAGGACCTGCCCCTGTCGCCGGACCGCTCGCTGCTGCCCGCCGCCGTGCTCTCGGCGCTCTGACGCTGCCGCTCTCTCCTGCCGCTCTCGGCGCTCTGACGCTGCCGCTCTCTCCTGCCGCTCTCGCGCCGCTCCCTGTCGGCGGCGGCGCGCTCGGCGTCGCGGCGCGCCCGCTCCAGTCGCGCCTCGGCCAGTCGCTGGAGCTGCTGGGCACTGAGCGCCGGCCGACAGGTGACCGGCTGCGGCCGGCGGCTGGGCGGCGGCGCCAGCCGACGGTGCGCGCACAGCCGCGCCGTGCGCACCGTCAGCACGTAACGGCACGTCTCGGGCTCATCGACCCGGACCAGCGCGTCCGCGCCGCCCTCCTCGCATACGTACTGACACACAGAAACAGAGACAGATGGGTTAGACTGGGACGGTGTCCCCGCCCTCCTCGCACACGTACTGACACACAGACAGACGGGGGGGGGGGGGTCAGACTGGGACGGTGTCCCCGTCCTCCTCACACACGTACTGACAGACAGACAGAGACAGATGGAAAATGACGATAATAACTCAAGTTTATTGTACAAGACAAGCTTTCGATACATAAAGTATCTTGATCACTGTCAATGAGATGTAGAATATTGGAAAATTCACAAATAACAAAAACCGACGCAAGTCGTTGCATTTCTTTCTTCCTAACATGTGACATTCACCCTATGACACTTTCACTGCTAATTTTGCTGCTATGCTAGACCATGTAATAAACCCGTTTCTTGTGTTGAACGTATTTCTTGACATGATATGAGCCGCTTCGAGACATTTTCGTTTTCGTTTCTTCATATTTCGTTCCAATATTTTGGTATCGTCCCACTTCGGCAGGTGCTGGCATTCTTCTATGTGTAGTACGATCGCATTGGAAGTCCGGTGAAATTTGACATCGCTCTTATGTTCCTGTAATCGCGTTTTTAATCCCCTTCCTGTCTCGCCTACGTAAGTCTTATAACACCCCGAACAAGGTACTTCGTAAACAATGCTCTTCTCGGAGCCTTCGTTTTTCTCTTTTCTTTCTAATATGTTCTTGATTTTCTGTCCTGAGTTCGTAGCAATCCGCACACCTATGCTCTCTAGTTGTTTTGAGATGGCATTCGCTTCTCTTGAATAGGGAATCGTTATCCATCTATCAGGCTTGTCTGTACGCTTCTTCGTTTGTCCTCTCTTCTTTTTCTTGACGATTTCTTCTGCTTTTTTCCTCTGCTGTATCAGAAAACCCTTTGGGTACTTCAATCTTTCAAAGGTCTCGTATATGTGCTGAAGTTCTTCTTGTAAGTAGTCATCATCACAAATCCTAAACGCTCTAAGGAAAAAGCCAATAACTATACCACTTTTCACCCTGTCTGCATGAGCCGAATAAAAATGCACGTAATCTTCCTTATTGGTAGGCTTTCTGAAAACTTTAAATTTGAAGTTGCTGTCTGTCCTCAAGATGGAAGTGTCTAAAAATGGCAGCTGGGCGTTCTGTTCCTTCTCCAATGTAAACTGTATCTTTGGGTTGACAGCATTCAAGAGGTTCAGTTTTTCGTCCAAGTCCATGTCTTGCGGTACCACTACATATACAGTTTACATTGGAGAAGGAACAGAACGCCCAGCTGCCATTTTAGACACTTCCATCTTGAGGACAGACAGCAACTTCAAATTTAAAGTTTTCAGAAAGCCTACCAATAAGGAAGATTACGTGCATTTTTATTCGGCTCATGCAGACAGGGTGAAAAGTGGTATAGTTATTGGCTTTTTCCTTAGAGCGTTTAGGGTTTGTGATGATGACTACTTACAAGAAGAACTTCAGCACATATACGAGACCTTTGAAAGATTGAAGTACCCAAAGGGTTTTCTGATACAGCAGAGGAAAAAAGCAGAAGAAATCGTCAAGAAAAAGAAGAGAGGACAAACGAAGAAGCGTACAGACAAGCCTAATAGATGGATAACGATTCCCTATTCAAGAGAAGCGAATGCCATCTCAAAACAACTAGAGAGCATAGGTGTGCGGATTGCTACGAACTCAGGACAGAAAATCAAGAACATATTAGAAAGAAAAGAGAAAAACGAAGGCTCCGAGAAGAGCATTGTTTACGAAGTACCTTGTTCGGGGTGTTATAAGACTTACGTAGGCGAGACAGGAAGGGGATTAAAAACGCGATTACAGGAACATAAGAGCGATGTCAAATTTCACCGGACTTCCAATGCGATCGTACTGCACATAGAAGAATGCCAGCACCTGCCGAAGTGGGACGATACCAAAATATTGGAACGAAATATGAAGAAACGAAAACGAAAATGTCTCGAAGCGGCTCATATCATGTCAAGAAATACGTTCAACACAAGAAACGGGTTTATTACATGGTCTAGCATAGCAGCAAAATTAGCAGTGAAAGTGTCATAGGGTGAATGTCACATGTTAGGAAGAAAGAAATGCAACGACTTGCGTCGGTTTTTGTTATTTGTGAATTTTCAAATATTCTACATCTCATTGACAGTGATCAAGATACTTTATGTATCGAAAGCTTTGTCTTGTACAATAAACTTGAGTTATTATCGTCATTTTACATCTGTCATGGATTCGTTACAAGAGACAGATGGGTTAGACTGGGACGGTGTCCCCGCCCTCCTCGCACACGTACTGACACACAGACACTGGCAGGGGTGGAGGGTCAGGCTAAGAGAGCAGGGCAGAGAGGAGGAGAGGGGAGAGCAGCTGGATGACCATAGTGCAGTCGACGAAGAGATCGTAATGGCAAGCTCGTTAGAACCTGACGTCATATTTTGAACATATCATTGATGCATTATAGAAATAAGAGCAAACATCACGATACGCTTATCTTGTGCACCCGTGTTGCTTTTATTCATTTTAATCGTATACCTGTATGACGCAACTCCCGAAAAAACAATGTCTGATGGATGGATTTTAGCAAATAAACATACATACATAATTACATACGCTAGCATATTGATAAACTTCACCCCACAACGCATTGCAACGCAACCCGTGAACGTTTCTTCCTGCTCGGGCCGGTGTGCTTTCGCTGGTTGGGTGCTCACTGCCCATCCAGACCTCTGACCCCTATCCACTCTGACCTCCGCCGACCCGTCAGGTCACTGACCTCTGACCGCTCCACTCACCCTGACCTCTGCCGATCTGTCGGGTCACTGACCTCTGACCGCCCCTGACTCACCCTGACCTCTGCCGACCGGGGCCGGCCCGTCAGGTCGCAGTCAGAGCCGTTTGACATACGTCTGGCTGTGGTAGCGGTGCTTGGCGTGGCGCGACCGGCCGTCGTCGCCGCTCCAGTCGTAGTCCGATTCGAACCGTCCCAGCACGCTCACCGGGCCGACTATCTGGCCGCCTGCGGAACGGTGGGAGCGTCAAATCTGACCGCCTGCGGGACTGTGGGAGCATCAGATCTGACCGCCTAAGTTATCGAGCGAGCATCAGATCTGACCTGTAAGACCACGGGACCACCAACTAAACGGATCTTGGCCCCTAGAAACGTCTCAACGGACCGGGGGGGGGTCTTCTGAGGAGTTCGCACACGGTGTGAAGTGCGCTGCGGCGGTCGTTCATCAGCTGCTCGTTAGTCGAGCGACTCACCCTCGAGATGGTACTGCCGGATCTCGGCCATGGGGCAGAGCTCGTAGGTCCACCAGTCGCGGGTACGCTGCAGACACGGCCCGCTTGACATGGGCGCCAACAGGCCTGGGACGCAGACGCCCGGACCGGTCAGAGCGCAGCCGGGCAGGGGACAGGTCAGACGCCGCCGGGACGGGTCAGACACAGAGACAGCCGCAGGGCAGCGTGCGGACTGCCTGATGGAATCAACGGCAAATTACATAACTACGACAGCAGCATGGCAGCGTGCGGACTGTCTGATGTAACTACCGTCAAATGTCATATGGCAGCCGCGGCAGGGCAAGGTGCGCACTCTCTGAACGTTATCACTGTCAAATGGCATACAGCGACAGCCACAAGATGAACTGATGAAACTGAATGAAATCAGTGTTAAATGCCACAAACAGTCACCGCGACAAAGTGCGACTTGGTAAGACTGACTCCCTCTTTCTGGCTGCGGTCAGCTGCGTGTGACCTATGACGCTGGACTCAGTGGCAGAGTAGAGTCACTGAATTAGTCTCCGGGGAAGCCGGGAGTCGTGGGAGACACTGACTAGTCACTGGGGCATTAGGGGAGTCAGTAGTCACTGACTGGGCACGGAGGCCGGGCAGTCGGCGGAGTCAGGGCACTCAGGGCAGTCGGGGTCCGTAGAGTCACTGACTGGGCACAGAGGCCGGGCAGTCGGCGGAGTCAGGGCACTCAGGGCAGTCGGGGAGTCCGTAGAGTCACTGACTGGGCACGGAGGCGAGCTGGCCGGCCTCGGCGTCCTCCCTGTGCGGCTGCAGCAGCGCCTCCGTGTCCGGCAGCTGGCACGAGTACGGCTGGCCGGCCCGGTTGTACATCTGCACGGTGCGCTCCCCCGGCGTCTGTCCGCAGCCAAAGCGCCCGTGTCGGAGGAACGGCAGCACCGCGGTCAGAAGTGCCCAACTGGGGTAACGTGCATTACTGGCCAACATACCGACGTAGGTACTGAAGACTCGGCAGTTCCTAGCAGTTCCCTTTACAATACTTTTAATCATTATCTGGCCCACATGCACAGGTTTTCGAATTATTCGCCAAGTGTTTTAATGATTTAAAGCCTCGCCTTGTGAAGGCTGCTATCGCCTAGCGACTTCTAGCTTCACTGGCGCATGCTGATGCAGATTTATTCGTTGGTGTTGCTCGTTGTTTTATATAGTCCCATGACGAGCATTTGCAGCTTATAGTTTAAAGTGCCTGTCTTCGACCTTACCTCACTGAGGAGCACCGGCTGGTCCGATATGTCCACCACAAAATTCAGCGATTTTATCTCCTCGGCATCAAACACAAAACATTCCGAGCACAGGCTCACTGTACTGAAAATTACCACACTGAGCCAGACTGAGGCCATGCTTCTCTGTCCTCTGAAACAGAATGTTTGTCAGCACTAGTGCACAGATAAAGCAGTCAGGGTGTGTGACTCAGCCCCAGTGTCCCAAAATTATGTTTTGGCTTAGGTGTCAGAGGGAAAATTCCTCTCCAAAAAGGGGGATAAGAGTGGAAAATTCCCCAGTCAGATAAGGCCCAAAAAGAGTGGAAAAGATCAATGGCATGCATTTATATATAATGAGGTAAAATGTAATATGTTAAATGACCAATGCAAATGCTTATTCTCAGTAAAGCTGGGAGTGGATAATTGCTCTTAGATATTTAAGATGAGAGTGCAAAATGATTTTTATTTGGATGTCGTTTCCCACCTAAATCGAAATATTTTGGGACACTGCTCAGCCCAGCCCATCATGGTGGGGGGTAGGGGGACTAGGGGTTTTGATGGCTGACCAGAACTGATTAGTGATTAGGCATCTCAGAAACTAGGGAAGCTAGCAAGACATGGAAAAGGAATTGATATATCTCAATAAGCTCTGAGAGGCTCAGTACTTCGGTCACTTTTCCTTTAAGTTCAATGATGTAGGTCACTGGAATCAGAAAGTTGCAGTGGCCAGCCATGAAGGTATTCTCAAAGTTCAAACACAGCATCCACCACAGTTGGTCCAATTCTACCCTGTACGGTCTCCACTCTCCAGTCACCAGTGACATACACATATCAACATCTTGACATACCAATGCCAGATTCTCCCTTGTGACAGTGAACTGGCAACATCTTCATGAACAGTAGGTACATTAGCATGCTTAACATCAAGCTAATATTCATAAGTTGCAGCATATACGAGGCAGCTGATCAATTCAATAGTCAATGGGCTAAAGTGGTGTGGCCAATCCTCATCCCACACAGAGTCTCCTGCCCCTTTCAGTTGACAAGAACATGAGACACCCAATTCCCTGTGTCTGGCTTCATCTGATTTAGCAGTGTGGGACATATTCCAGCCACAGATCTGCGAGTAAGCAACAGATGCAACTCTTCCCCAGTGGCACAAACTCTTGCCACTCTGTGCTCTACCTTTACACCACCAATCACATCAGGTCATCATGAGTCTTTCCTGTCCAGTAGCCTGCTGAGAGCAGCTATATGATAATTTACTGGGAGAACTTCTAAATACAAACTCTGAATGGCTTACCAAGCCTTCATGGCCTTTTCAAATAAATCTAGCTCAAATATTTTAAATGACAGATTGACCAAGATGTAGACCATGCTAAGCAGAGCTTGTCTTGTTGCATAGACCTTGATCCCTACCATAACTTACCAAACGTCTGAGCGCATAATGCCGGCCTCTGGGTGACAGGGGAATTTAAATGTCAAAATTTTAACAAGCCCATCAAAGCTAGAGTCAAGGCCTATCCCACTCAACTGACTTTTATCTGCCAGTTGCCATGGCTGCTTCCACCAACCTCAGAACATTTCTGTCAATATCTCAAATATTGAGTGCTGGAGTGACTTGAACCCAGGCTTTTACTTCCAGGAATCCAATGCTTTATCAACCATAACTAAGCTACAGGACAGGCCAAACTGAGCTTGAGGTACAGGCCTTTCTCATGAGAACTTTGTAATGATGATGATGATGATGATGTCTTCAGGGTACTGCCTTTGCATCAGCACCCCACCAGAACTCCTGGGTTTTGGGCATGTTTTTGGTTGGTTTAGGACAGGTGGGTTTAGGTCAAGGTTACAGCATTAGTAGAGCAGACGTCACATGAAGGTATTCCAACCGAGGAGAGGCACTGCAGGTTTGTAGGTTGTAGGTTTTTAGGTTGTAGGTTACATTAGGTCAGGTTAGGTTAGGTTTGTTTAGGTTTTCCTAGATAGAAAAGAAGCACCTCCGGCCTCAGGGTATGGCACCTCTCCTTGGTTGGAAAACCTTCGTGTGACGTCTGCTCTACTAATACCAAGATTACTTAGGTAGGTATGGTCTGGGGACAACTGGAAAAGTACTGGGAAAGTACTCCACATATTTATCAATGACTGCATCTGTAACTGGGTGTGATACCTGTTAACATTTAGATAAATACATGCATACAGTCAGGATGCTGTTATACTGTTATACAGTGGGGTACTGTTATAAATCGCCTACCTTCTACGAACCCTGACCCCGGGGCCTGGAATCCTTAGCCAGCAGCCAGTGACATTCGAAATAAGTGATTGTAGAAGCAAGTTTCCGCAACCTAAAATGCTTGAAGCGCTTGGAGACTGATGAATGTTGATGCCAGAGTATATAGATCACCGTTGATGCAGCACGAGAATTGGATTAAAGCAGCTACAAGCGATTAAACTGGAAATTGGAATAAACCAAAACAAAACAGAAGGTACGGTAAGTACAGGGTCAGGTCAGGGTACTCAAACTGCCTTTGAATGCCAACATTTTAAACCATGGGTACATCAGAGTATATAGATCACCGTACCAGAGCATATAGGTACGTATCAAACGTATATTGACGCGTATATTCTCCTTTAACATCTAATGCCCTTTCACGGACAAGACAGCGCGCAACCCAAGCAACCACTAAACTAATGGCAGGGAAGTCTCGAAAATCTTTTTCCCCGCGTTCGATGTAACTCGGACGACGAAGGTTCTACGTCGTTCGGCCAATCACGTTCAAGGTCAGCGGGGCTCGGCTGTGGATATGGAACGTTATTGGCCGGACGGCGTAGAATCTTCGTCGTCCGAGAGACATCGAACGCGGGGCCTAACCCCGATTGAAAAAACTGCGGCATAGATGTCTTTTTTGAAAGATGTTCAGCTGCTGCTTTTTCAGAATGTGCTGCCAATTTTGCCATATATGGAAGACACTTGCTGAAATTATTCAGCCTCTCATTGGTTATCACACACCTCAAGCGAATGTCACCAATGAAAAGCCGAGAACCGGCACCATTCTAACAAAAAAAAGAATAAATGGTCACCAGTCCATCTTTTTGGCCCCGGCATAAGGCACCGGCAGGCAAACATAAGGTATGTACTTACCGTGGATAAAATTGCTGGAAAGTATGTGGGTTTTAGTTACCTTGTATATTTAAATGCACAAATTAGCAAATATCTTTTGGTGTTGTCAGTAGTCACTGTAGGAGCTTGCATTAGTGCTAGAAGCCTGTGATCCAAGCAAGTCAAGTAGGTACCTACCTACCTAGGCACCAACTGAAATTGGCTGATCCCATCCCAATCCAATATCTACCAGTAAAACGCCTTTTGGGCGAAGAACGAGCGAGCGAGATAGTGAGGCCTGCACGTGCGGAAGGGCGATAGGGTACTTCCAAGTTCCAACGGGCTTAAAGCACCCTTCTAACCGGTCGCTAGCGGTGTACCAAATTTGAACGCAATCGGCCCAGCCGTTCCTGAGATCTGGAAGCGGCATTCTGCACGTGCGCACGTGCAAATGGGGTCCAAAATGACTTTTGCACGGCACCCTACTAACCAGTCCCCAACCGTGTACCAAATTTAAGCGCAACGGCCCAGCCGTTCTCGAGATCTGGAAACGCCCCCTGCACGTGCGCACGTGCAGTAGCACCCTAACCGCAACACATGGGAATGCATTGCCTGGTGGGTACCTGCCTGTATGCCAAGTTTCAGCGAAATCACCCCAGTAATTACCGAGTTACTGAGATGGGAACAAATTTGGCACCTCTTATTGTTGTATTTTGCACGTGCAGTGGGGGTCACTCACATAGATGGAGTATCCGACCTTTGGTAGAAGGGGCAGCTACCCTATAAAAATGACCGCAAGACAATCGCTCAAGCCGCTGCTGAGATATGGGCTTCTCAAAATCATTACTTTTGCAAAGCTGCTTGAACACCCTTGACTTTTCACGTGGCACGTGCCACGGCGGTCACTGAGATGTATCAAAAGTAGTCAATTACGGGGTAGAAGGGATGGGGCTACCCAGCAAAAAAGACCGCAGGCCATTCGGTCCAGCGGTTGCTGAGATATAAGCCTCTCAAAAGCGTTACAGGCCGGGCCGGGCCGGGCCGGGCCGGGCCGGGCCGCTCATACTGAGATTTTTCCGTTATATTGAAAAGACTTCGCTTCGCTCGCTGCGCTCGCTCGCTCGTAATAAAATTAATGATTCCAGGACAAATCTTCCCACGAAATTTCTTTGTCATGCATTTCTTCATATCCACATTTCTTCATACCTTACTGTCAAGTCGTGTCTTGAATATCAAGTGTTTCGGAATTCGGCAGACTTCAAGTTCAGCAGGTAGAGCGTTCGTTGTCGTTGATGATGTCGTTGATGATGCGGATGCTGAAGCTGCTTCATTGAGTGTCACCATAGGCGGCGGAACGGAGGGGGGCACCGTGCCCCCTTGAATTCTGCAAGGGGGCACCAATAGCAAGGTGCCCCCCTTAAATTTGATGTTTTAGTACCAGAGGCGGATTCGGGAAAACTCAGAGGGGAGGGTCATGAATGGAAGTGGTGCCCCTACCTAGTACCTATGCCCAAAATTAAAATCGCAACGGATTTCGGCCACTTAGGGCCTGTTCCAGCGCCTCCAGAAACCTCCAGAAACCTCCAGAAAGCTCTAGAATCCCAGAGAGCCAATGCTGAGCCATAGGAACCCGGTGGATAAAGAGTAGGGGACCATCAACCTGTACACAATAACACGACTGTACCTACCTGTCATCCGCCTCTGACAGCTTCGCAACATGTTACGAAGGCACTAAAACTACTTCGTAAATGTTCAAATGGTTGCTAAATTCGAATTCAGCTCCAAAAACTAGCCTAGAACATGTACAACTCGAAAAAGTGAACCGAGGTCACCAAAGGTCAATGACCTGACCTGACCTTCAGGTGACCTTGACACCCACCCAAATGCATGGGAGCAACATCAAATCACATGTTTAACGTTTGAAACCACGAAAAGCTTGCAAACGCGAAGCTAATGCGAGCCGACATACGCCGAATCGCGATTTCGGCCAACATGGTCACGGAAGAGGTCACAGGCCAAAGGTCATTGGGGTCAGGGTCATGAAATTTGGAGGGTAGGTGTAAAATTGATCAATGCGAGGGTACTGAATGTTTCGTCGCGTTCGGCCGCTTTTTTACGCGAGTTATTCACGAAAAAAAACCTTAGGGGGTTGCATCAACCCCCCCCCCCCCTGTGCCGGCAAGGGTTAAAATTCTAGTGGAGATATCTTTAGGTGCCTGAAAGATCCTTTGTGTGTTTCAAGGCCATACATTGCACTATTATGCCTTATAAAGAACTTGCATATTGATAATTAAAAAAGGGTTCTGGCGAATTCACCTTCTTCTGCTTCTTTCGCCAAAAGCTCTCGTCTTAAACAGGAATATGGTCTTTTTGTTCTACAGAAAACTGATTTTGAAAGGTCAATGAGAGTATATCGCCAACAAAGAGATGCAGGGAATGACGTTTGAGCTATCAGCGTCAACTCGGACTCCGGGAGTCGGGTCGGATT